AGCTGTCCCCTCGTGCTGCTCCTTGCGTCTTCCTGGGTTTCCCCCCTGACGCCCCAGGGTGGCAGTTCTACCACCCCACCTCTCGCCGTGTTCTGTCCTCCCAGGACGTCACGTTCGACGAGTCGGTCCCCTACTACCGCCTCTTCCCCTACCGCACTCCGTCCCTCCCCCCGCCACCGCTCTTCCTTGTACCAGGTCCCCCCCCGGTAGACCCCCTCCCCCCTCAGGGTCCTGCCCCTTCAGGTGTGTCCCAGGTAGACGCTGTTGAGCCTGTCGAGGTCGCTGGTGACTCTGGTGCTGCTGAGGGTGCTGAGCCTGGGGGTGCTGACTCTGGGGGTGCTGAGCGTGTGGGTGCTACGCCTGGGGGTGCTGAGCCTGGGGGTGCTGAGCCTGGGGGTGCTGAGTCTGGGGGTACTACGACTGGGGGTGCTGAGCCTGGGGGTACTACGCCTGGAGGTGCTGAGCCTGGGGGTGCTGCGTCTGGGGGTGCTGAGCCTGGGGGTACTACGCATGGAGGTGCTGAGCCTAGGGGTGCTACGCCTGGTGGTACTGTGCCTGGCGGTTCACCGGGTGCTCCCTCTCGCCGAGAGCCACTCTCTCCCCAGGAGCTACGTGAGTGGTTTGCCCGGCGCTGGAGGCGAGCTGCTGGAGCTGCTGGAGCTGGAGGTGCTGCGGGTACTGGAGGTTCTGTTGCTTCTGAGGGAGCTGGTGTCACGGGTCCCGGAGGTGCTCGTACTGGGAGTACTGGAGCTGCTGGACCTGCGGGTACTTCTGGAGCTGGAGTTGCTGCGGGTGTTGGCGCGGAGGCTACTGCTGTCGGTCCTGGAGGCGGTCCTGCTGGGGGTACTACTGGTGCTGCTGGGGGTTCTGGAGCTAGAGCTGCTACTGGTGCTGGTGCTGCCCCTGCGGGTGCTGGTGCTGTCCCTCCTGTGTCTGGAGTCGCCGCGCGGCCTCGGCCGTACTTCGTTCCGCTCCTTCAGCAGGTTCTTGGTCTCCCGCCTTCTACTGGTCCTCCTCCTCCCTTAGAGTGTCCACAGCCTGTCCCGTCGCAGTTACAGTTACAGCCGGCCTCCCCACTGCCTGCTCCATCTCCCTACACTGGTCCTACTGGAGGTCTTGCTGAGCGTCGTGAGCCTGCGTCTCGCCCTGCGTCGCCTGTCCGTGCTGCTCGCACTAGTGGTCGCGGTTCGCGTCAGCGTCCTCCTCCTGTCCCTGGCACGCACCGGATGTCTCTGCGTCCGTCCACTGCTCCTCTGCGTGCCCCTTTACCTTCTCCTCCTGAGTCTTCTCTTCCTACTCTTGCCGACCCGGAGTCGGACTCTCTTCGCGCTGCCAGTCCTACTGTCACGCGTCTCCTTGCTACGGTTGTCACTGACCCTTCCTTTGAGTCCACTGCTGCGTCTGCTCTAGTTGCTGAGCTCGTCGAGTTTGCTGCTCGCTGTCGCCTAGACTACGTCGCCAGTCTTGTTGCTGAGTCTGAGTCTGTCTGTCCTCCGTCCGTCGGGGGTGAGTGTGCCCTTGGCACGGACGTCCTTGAGGACAGGCAGGAGGAGTTCCAGTGCTTGGCCGCTGCTTCACCTCATCTCGTGTCCGTACTGCTTACCCCTGAGGGAGACCCGGATGCACTTGACATCCCGACTCCGCGCTCTTACGCGGAGGCGATAGAGGGTCCCTACTCCTCTCAGTGGCAGGCAGCTATGGACGCAGAGATGGCTTCCTGGAAGTCCACAGGCACCTACGTTGACGCTGTTCCCCCTCCTGGGGCGAACATCGTCAGTGGCATGTGGATTTTCAGGGTGAAGCGACCGCCGGGTTCTCCGCCTGTCTTCAAGGCGCGTTACGTGGCTCGTGGCTTCAGTCAGCGGCAGGGAGTTGACTACTTTCAGACCTTCTCTCCCACCCCGAAGATGACCACTCTTCGGGTACTGCTGCACGTAGCTGCTCACCGTGACTACGAGCTACACTCTCTTGACTTCAGCACTGCTTTCTTGCAGGGCAGCCTGCACGAGGAGATCTGGCTGCGTCGCCCACATGGCTTCACTGGGTCTTTTCCTCCTGGCACCCAGTGGAGCCTACGGCGGCCAGTCTACGGTCTCCGCCAGGCACCGCGTGAGTGGCACGACACACTGAGGACTACACTTGCGGCTCTTGGGTTTGCTCCCTCTACTGCCGACCCGTCGCTGTTTCTGCGCACCGACACTTCTTTGCCGCCGTTCTACATCCTCGTGTACGTCGACGACTTGGTCTTTGCCACAGCTGACACTGCTGGACTAGCCCACGTGAAGTCCGAGCTGCAGAAGAGACACACGTGCACTGACCTGGGTGAACTGCGCAGCTACCTTGGCTTGCAGATCACTCGGGACAGAGCACGCCGCACCATTACCCTGACTCAGTCACACATGGTGCAGCAGGTCCTTCAGCGCTTCGGCTTCACGTACTCCTCGCCTCAGGCCACTCCTCTGCCTACTCGCCACTCGCTCTCAGCTCTGCCTTCGGATGAGTCCGTAGAGTCGAGTGGCCCGTACCCAGAGCTTGTTGGCTGCCTCATGACCTGATGACCTGCACACGACCTGACCTTGCATACCCTCTTAGCATTCTTGCACGCTATGTTGCTCCTGGGAGACACAGACCGGAGCACATGGCTGCAGCGAAGAGGGTGTTGCGCTACTTGTGCAGTACGTCGGGCATGGGGCTTGTGCTTGGAGGGCAGAGTCCAGTGGTCCTTACTGGACACGCAGACGCTTCTTGGGCTGACGACCAGGCTACGCAGCGGTCGTCACAGGGTTACACCTTCAGCCTTGGTTCCGGCTCTGTTTCGTGGCGGGCTACTCGCTCGTCTTCTGTTCTCGGCTCCAGTTGTGAGGCTGAGATCTACGCAGGAGCCATGGCTGCACAGGAGCTTCGCTGGCTCACCTACCTGCTGACTGACCTCGGAGAGTTGCCTCGTTCTCCTCCAGTGCTGTACGTAGACAACAAGGCCATGCTGGCCTTGTGTCGGGAGCAGCGACTGGAGCACAGAACGAAGCACATTGCTCTCCGCTACTTTCTTGCTCGTGAGCTGCAGCAGCGTGGTCAGCTGCGTCTTGCGTACGTGGCCTCTGAGGCCAACACTGCTGATATCTTCACCAAGGCGCTTGCGCCTTGTGACCATCAGCGCTTCTGTACTCAGCTGGGCCTTGTGCCTACCTTGCCTCACTTGCTCACCTCTTGACCTTGCTTGTACTGTTACATATATATATACCTACTCTTGCTTGTCTAGCCTTTTTTTTTATATATATGTACTCCTGCATGTGAACTGGCCTTGTGGCCTTGAACTTGTGCTCGGAATGTGTGGTGACTTTGTGATCCACCCTGAGCTTGCTTTGCTTTGCTTTGCTTGACTGGTCTTGTGACCCCTTGTTCTCCCCCACTTTGCCTATGGGGGTGTGTCAGATTTATATGACATAGCTACTGTAGGCTATAGTGGGGTAGCACATATGGGGTACAGTTTTCTAGGGTTTGCTTCTTGTACCCAACTTTCACTTAGTCATTTCATTCCTCGTTTCTTCTCAAGACAGCGGCTCCTAGGTGTTAAGGGGCGTTAGTTCCTTCGAGAGCAAAAATCGAAAGTTGATTTCTCTGGGTGCGGAGATGCGCGGTCCGAAAAAAGGTGACTCTGGATACCAAGTGTTACGGATGCAATGGAACGAGATAGCGAGGATTGCACTAGGTTGTCAGAACATTATATAGCTTATGCTGTTGTGTAGGCTATAGTGGGGTATCCCATAGGGGGTACAACCCAATTAGGGTTTCCTATATGTACTCACTTCATTCATAGTTCATTCATTCGCGTTCTCCTTTCCACATAGGTGTCAAACAAGTACAAAGTACGGTATGAGCGTAGGCATGAGCGAATACTTGTGCGAAACATGCAACGGTTACGCGGTGCGTACGAGCTAGCTATCGCAATGCTGACATCGAGGTTCGGGCTAGTTCCGAAACGAAGGCCGACTCGGTCAGGCCAGTGGTGCATGGTTTGGTAAAACAGTGCGCGCGAAGTTGGCGAAGCCCCGTTAGCAGAAACGGGCGAACAACGGCTGCTGCTGTACGCGATGTTGAAGAACGCAGTAAGGAATGCTGAAAAAGTCTTTACATCCTTCCACACTCCATTACCTTAAATCCTAGAAACGTACTTTTAAGCAAGGCATGGATTCACTAATTATTATTAAATTTTCAAACACCTGTTGAATATTTATCAAACCCACCTGTTTAATATGACTTAATTCAGTTTTGGTTGAATTTGCAAACCTTTAATTCCATTCACACAAGGTAAGCCTTTTGCACATGAAACTACAACGCAGCAACTTTTTATAAATTAGGACTGCAATTAGCGAGGCAAGGCAGCGCGAACGAGCTAGGCGAAAACCCACCTGTTTAATACGACTTAATTCAGATAATGGGTTTGAATTTGTAAATCTTAAAATTCATTCACATAAGGTAAGGCTTTTGCAGATGAGACTAACACGCAGCAAGTTTATAAAGTAGGACTGCAATTAGCGAGGCAGGCAGCGCGAACGAGCTAGGCGAAAACCAAGGGGCAAAGTCTGGCTCGGAAGTGTGGCGAGGGTTACGGGGCGACTCGTGAGTGGTTTGGCCCGACAAGTCAGGCCGAACCAGCTCAGGCGAGCAGTTCGGGGTTACTACTTTTCAGCGCACAGAACTGCGCGCGAAGCTGAATTTAACCAAGTGCACCGAAGTGCACCGAAGCAAGATCCCAAGGCACTGTTTTTGGGCCTTGATCTCTCCGCAGCGCACGCAGCGTGCTGCCCTGCTGTCTCCTCCACTCCCTCCCCGACCACCCCAAGGCTTCTCGCTCTGCCTCTCCTCCGCTCGCCACTCGCCACCCTCGCACCTGCGCACTACAAAGCACCGCCTCACGCGCTCATTCCTCTCATCACTCTCCAGCTTACAGCTTCTGTTCTTGCTACTAGAACCTCTCAGCCTTCCCGGTCGCGTTCTCGTTACCTCAGCATGGCCCCATTGCGCGAGTCGTATTCTGCAGCGCTGAGCTTCTGGAAGAGCCTCGGCGGGGAGAAGTCGAGCGCACCACGGCGCGTACAGCCGCTGAGCGACAGCACCAACAACGGCCATCGCACTGACGCCGCCGCGGGATGCAAGCACGACGCCACGGCGTCAGAAACTGGTGCGTGGGAATGCGCAGCGTGGGAGTCAGGCGCGTCGGAATGCGCATCCTCGGAAACTGGTGCGTCGGACCCTGCAGCGTGCGAATGCGCCGCTTCGGATGCGCCGGAAACTGCTGCGCAGGACTCCGCCGCGCCGGAATGTGCAGCCCCGCAATCAGCCGCGGCGGAATCGGCTGCGCCGCAATCAGCCGCGGCGGAATCAGCCGCGGCGGAATCGGCTGCGGCGGAATCAACCGCGACGCAAACTAGAGCGACGGAATCAGCGTCGGTGGCATTGGTGGTGGCGTTGTCACGCCCGTCAGCTGGTCGCAGCAAGGCAGCAGCAGCAACGCAATCAACAATGTGGCTCCCCCCGTCGCGCATCCCGAAGCCGAGCAACACGGGAGCAGCGATTCGGCGCGTGGAGGGACCCACGCTGATCCCGAGGCCTCGATGTGCCGCAGCGCCCAGGCCGGTGCGGCGAGTGCAAGGCGAAGCTGCCGTCAAGCCGCCTCGCAGAACGCCCAAGGCCAAGGCCGCGCTCACTGCCACCCCAAAGCGCCCATGGCGGCCCTGACTGCTCTGACGGCAAAAAAGGACGAAAAACGAAAAGGAAAAACAAAGTAGCAAAAAACGACATGACTGCTCCGACTTACGGAGAAAAAGGAAACACAGAAAGAAAAATGAAGATTACGAAAAAAAAAGGGTTGCGGACTGTTTGCAGAGAGAGATGATGGGTGGATGGGATGGCAGGCAGGAAAGCAGCATAGATGGGCGGACGGAATGAAAGGCAGGTAAGCAGCGCAGCACAGCAAGACGGAGAGCAGCGAACGCGGAGCGATGGGGAGGACGGATGGGTGTGGCGTGGATGGGGGAGCGACGGTGGCACGGCCCTTTTTTGCGCGCTGCTTCACAGCAGGGCGTTTGTGGGAGTGTGGGTGGGTGGTTGGTGGGTGGCGGTTGCAAGTTAGGGGGTGAGGGAAAGGTGGTGTGGTGTGGTGCTGTGGTGTGAATGCGCTGCTGCAAGCTTCAAGGATGGGTGCAGGCAGGGTGGGAATAACGTGGATGGAGAGGTGGGAGTGGTGGGCAACATGACGACAGCCCGATACTGCATAGCTGCAAATGGGTGCATGGAATGGGTGCCCGACAGCCCAATACTACATATAGGTGCTGCCTTGACATGGGTGCAAATGGGTGCAAAGTACCGTACCCGTAGGCACCAATGCTGTAGGTGCTGGCATGACGCCACCTGTAGGCTTAAGCCCAATGTAGGGTAGGATTAAGGCCTTGTTGTGTGTGCGTGCCCACTTGCAATGACAATGATTGAATGAATGAAGAAAGCCTAGTTGCGTGCAATGAGTTGTGGATAAGGGCAGCAGAGGATTGGATTGGCAGTGCAGGGCAGTGCCATGTGCACTCAGGTGCCAGCATCAACACGGCTGTGACAGGTTGAGAGTTGGTGTTTGCCATGTGGTGTTGATGGTGGTGGCATGGTGGGTGATGCAGCGCATGGTGAGAGGGGATGCAGTGCTCCTGCTGCTGCTGTCCCCCCTGCTGCAGCAGCAACTCCCAGCCCCAAGTGGGTCAGGCAAGCCGTTGAGGTGGAGGGTGAGGTGGGCGAGTGGATGGCGCAGCGCGGGGAGGGGTGTGGCGAGGAGCAAAGGAGGGGGGAGGGGGGAGAGGGCAGCAGGCGGGGAGGAGGGGCGGATGAGCAGCGCGTGTGGAGGCAGGGCGAGTGGAGAGCCCCGTTGAGCCCACGCCTGCGTGCATGGCCGCCCATGGCCTCCCCTGCATGGCGCTGCTCCCTGGCGCCTGCAGCCCCCTCTGCCTGCCCCAAGCACGCACCCGGGAGAAGGCGTGCGGCAGGCGGGGGGCAGCACGGGTGGAGGAGGGCGACAGACGGGGCACAGCAGGGGGAAAGGGGGGGGAAAGGAGGGCGGAAGGAGGGGGAAAGGATGGGGAAAGGATGGGGAAAGGAGTGGGAAAGGAGGGGGTACAGGATGGGGAAAGGAGTGGGAAAGGGGGGAAGGGGGAAGGAAGAAAGTGAGCGTGAACGGAGGAGAAGGGCAGTGGAATAGGAAAAGGATTGAAGTGGGCAGGGTATATGAGGCGGAAGGAGCGTAAAACGAGGGGGGAAGGGGAATGAGGGGAGTGGACGGGGGAATGGGAGGGGGAGGGGAGAGGGAATGGAGGAAAAGAAGTAGTGAGAAGTGAAAGCAGGGGACAGGCAGGCGAATAGGAGGGGGTTTGGAGGAAGATGGGGAACTGAGGGGAAGGTGGTTGGACGGAGGGGGACAGGAGGGGAACAGGAGAAGGAAAGCAGGGGGCGTGGAGGGGGAAACGAGAAGAAAATAGGGGGACGGGAGGTGGATAGGAGGGTGACAGGAAGGGGAAAGGAGGGGAAATGGAGGAAATAGAAGATGAAGGAGGGGGCAAGGAGGGGAGGGGGAAAGAAGGGGGAACGGAGGGAGAAAAGGGGGGAAGTGGAGAGGAAAGGAGAGTGATAGGATGCGAAAGAAGGAAAGAGGAGGGCGTTAGGAAGGGGCGGCCGAAATGAGGGCAAAAGAAAGGGAAAGGAGAGGGAAGCAAAGGGAGACGAGAGGGACGGGAGGGAGGTGGATAGGAGCGGGACAGGAGGGGGACAGGAGGGGGACAGGAGGGTGAAAAGAGGAGTAAAGGGGGTGAAGGGAGCGGGAGAGAAGGGGGAAAGGAAAGAGAGAGTGGGGGGAGAGGAAGGGGGAGGAGGGAGGGAAAGGAGGGTGGAGGAAGGTGCGAGGTCGGGTTTGGTGCATGGGCATGCGATGGCAGCACCCAGCGCCGTCATCCCACGCTTGGTGCGGGAAGGGGGGGTTTTGGTGATAAGGCTGACGCCCTCATCGCACTCGCGCCCTCATCCCACGCTTGCTGCGCCCTCATCCCACGCTTGCTGCGCCCTCATCCCACGCTTGCTGCGCCCTCATCCCACGCTTGCTGCGCCCTCATCCCACGCTTGCTGCGCCCTCATCGCACGCTTGGCGCCCTCATCGCACGCTTGGCGCCCTCATCGCACGCTTGGCGCCCTCATCGCACGCTTGGCGCCCTCATCGCACTCGCGCTGCTGCCACGGACTCACTCACCACTCGCGCACTCACTTTGCCAAGCCGCCTTTCACGGACGCTCTTGCCGCCACTGCCCACTTGGCCAACGCCACTGCCGCCGCGCGCGACCGACTCATGGCGGGCCCACGGCCAGCGATCTCCACGCGCTTCGCTTTTCGCGCTTCGGCTCGTAGCGTCGAGTCCTGGCGAAGCACGCACGCGTGGTTGGGGGGAGCGGGGCGGTGATGGGCGGGTAGAGTGGGTGCGGTGCGCGCGGCGAGGGGCGACGCACCTCGCATCACTCCGCAGCAGCTTCCCGCGCATCCGTCCGCGAGTGGCGGGCGCCGCCGATGGCGCTGGCGCGTGAATGCGCGCCTCTCGCGCACCTCGTCAAACGCGCAGCTGCCGCATCAGTGCCGCCCACGCGGCTGCTCGCGCGGATGCCGGAAGGGCGGTGCGCGCACGCAGGCGAGGCGCGCAGCAGCGACGAGCACCGCGCGACGTCGCTGGCACCGTGAATGCACCGACGCGCGCTCGCCATAACGCTTCCACTCCACCGCAGCACCTATTCATGAAATGAATAGTTCGAGCGAGCGCGTAAACACGTAGTAACGCCGTAACAGCTGGCCACCTAAACACGAATTGGTATGGTATGGCTCGAGTAATACATGGCGATGGCGGTGTGCGTTGCACACTCGCGCTTCCACTCCTCTTCTTGCCCGCCATCTGCTGCTGTTGCTTGAATCTACGCTCGCTACAAGCAGTCTTCACATACTGGTTTGTGCACTTGCAAACACATACATCATACCTTGAAATGATTAGTGTCTCCAACTAGTCTCAAATGTTGTGTGCTTATAGTGTGGTAATATTTATATGAGAAATATAATAATGCGAACATAATTTGTTAATACGGAGAGATACATATATGGGCATAGAAAGTACATGTTGTACTATGTTGCGTTCAGAAGTTTGATTGTGCCGAGGATCACCTCACGAAGGTTCGCATCGCATAGAGTAAGTTGCAGCGGAAGTATTGACCTCAGGTCAGAGTGAATTTAAAATGACATAATATTAACGAGCAGATACATATGTTTATATAGTAATACAAAAGGAAAACCAAACGTCATAACTAGCCATCCACTCTAAGGCGTACGTTCCGTAAAACACAACGGTGCGACTCGAGACGGTTACAAACCTGTTCCCACCTAAATCCTCGCTCCTGTAGCTGCCCGATGTGTTGGAATATCCGAAAGGTTATCATAAGCATTCCCGAAGGCTCTCCACTCCCGCGTTACTTCATAACGAAGCAAGCTCCTGTATCAGTACCGCAATAGCTCATATAGAGCACGCGGAAGGTCGAGGGTCACCCGAAGGTCAACAGTCGAAGACAGTCAACGGTCGTGACCCTTGACTGCCCAGTAACCGCACAAGGCAGTTGCGAAGTGCAACGTGGTAACTGTCTAGAATGGCAATAGTCGTGGTTACTGTGGCAATGCAATTCAGTTAATAAGGGAATGTACCCCTCAGAGTACATGGCTAGCTAGGATTGCTATTTATATTCTTGTACTCCTATCTTATAATCATCTTGTTCTCTCTCATTTTTTTAACAAGGTCACTACAGAGACTTCACAGTTCTCTCATATACTTAGCAGCTTTATCCTATCCACTGCGATCCTTCAGTTATAACATCATGGTATGAGAGCTAGAGTGGATTATAAGGCCTGCTAAGTTCTTGTTCTTGCTAGAACAACCTCCTTATAAATTATTAATTACATCGTTACAAACTCTGCACTACAACGGCTCCAGAAGGAAAAGCCACTGCAGATTCTCCGGGCCCACCACCAGCAACACCCACTGCACCATCAGCGGTGACCTCCGTCAGCGCCGCTCTCGTTGAGCAGTTGGTCGCCCGCATCAATGCTCTTGAGAGCCATCAAGCGATGAGCATCGATGGCTCAAGTTTTGCACGTGGAGTTGCTGGACTTCCTCTCCCTGGAGAAGACCGCCGCGTCAACTCCGAGAGATCCTTCACGTTCGACAACCGTCAAGCTTCAGCTTCTGCGCAAGACAGTCAACAACGCGCACACTCAGACACGATTGCAACAATGCAGACAATAATCGTTCTGACTTCGAAGCTGAAAACATCAGTTCCTTTCGACGGAAAGGACTTCTACACTTGGAGCTTCGAGTTTGAGCTCCTCGCGACAACTGCGCAAATCTGGATGTACTATGACGGAAGCTTACCGTTTCCAACGGAAGGCACCATTCAAGAGAAGAACCAGTATTACCACGAATCTCTTCTCGCGTACACCACCCTGCTCCGAAATCTCTCCCCCTCCGAGCAGCTTGGCATTCGCTCCTACAAGTCAAAGTTGGCGCCTGCGTATGCCTCTTGGGAGCACCTGCGCAACTCATACATGGCAACAGACCCCATTACAATGAGTCGCCTACTCAGCCAGCTTACATCGGTCAAAATGCAACAAGGGGAGAAAGCGGGACCATATATCAACCGGTGCCGCAACCTGCGCGACCACATCAAGAAGTGCGGCGGATCCGTCCCTGACGACATGTTCGTCTCGATGGTTCTCTCCAGCCTCGGACCCGACTGGCGTCAATGCCAATCGCTGCTTCGTGCTCGAGCAGCCGTCTCCGAGTCGGCCTTGTGCGCCACGCTTCTCTCTGAGCAAAAGGAGATCGATCTGTACAATGAGAAGAACACCAAGCGGGAGAAATTAGTCTTCTACACTGGCGCGACTGAAGGGGAGCAGCATGGGAAGAAAGTGGCCTTCTGCAAATACTGCAAGAAACCTGGACACACAATCGATCGGTGCTACAAGCGAAAGGCGGCCGACGAAAGACGTAACAGCTCTTCTGGCCAACAGAGCTCAGCGCCCTCAACCTCTCCTGCTGCAACAACCACCATATCGCCTCCTTCGGTTGCGAGCACCTCTCAAACACCTGCACGCATTACGGCCAAGGACAAAGGCAAAGGGTCAATTATGAGCTGCATGGTGCGTCGTCGCAGAGGGATTCGATACTACGACGAAATAGAGTTCCCGCCTGACGCTCCCATCGACCCTGTCGCGCCCAGTCAAGACAACGACCCCATCATTCACACTTGGATCGATCAACCCTCAAAATACCCACCTGATTTCGACCTGCCTCCGCCAACGCCAGAGTCCCCTCCCAGCATTCCCGCGAGGCGCTACATCGACCTCTCACCTTACACCGGATATTTTGACCGTGTCGTTACTCCGAAGATTGCTGGGATTGCGTGACGAAACCGCGAGGACATCAACACCTGGTATCTTGACAGCTGCTGCAGGCAACACATGGTGGGATCACCAACATTCATTAAAAACTCAAAACGCATGAGGAGACCATGCGAGATCACTGTCGCCAACAACGGACGCCTCAAGGCCTACGACATTGGGGAAGTCTGCCTTGAAGCTGAAGATACTCACTTCACGATTCACATCGGCGACGTCCTGGTTGCCCCTGATCTCCAATACAACCTGCTTTCATCAGTATAACTCATGCGGTGCGGTATCGACATTCGCAGCAACTGCAAAGACAAGACCTTCGAGCTTTACTACAAAAACACCTACATCGGAAAGGCAGATGACAATGACGGGGTCTTCGTACTTAACTTCTCGGCTCAAGGCACCACTGGCGACTCGGATCGAACTCTTCTTCTGAAAACTACCCTCTCGGAGCCTTCGTCTTCTGCTCCCACGGAGCCGTTGGCTTGGTCACATCCCGAGGAGATGGATCTCGAGCGACCTGCTTCGGATGGTCTTCTATGGCTACGCACTGTTCCGACTACATCAACCTCCAATCCCGGTGGCACCGGACCTGCAACAATGGAAGAAGACGTAGACAGCGGGACGTTAGCAACTGCAGAACCAACCAACGAAGAACAAACAACAATCCCAGCAACTGGCTGGGGAAGTCCCGGTCTGGCAGTCGGCCCTTGGGGCGAAGTCTTGACGCCGGAGGAAGCAGCCACTAGCGGATGGGGCGCTGTCTCGACACCGGACGAAGGCGGCGCTGTTGCCGAAGGAGGATGGGAAGATGGAGGCGGCTGGGGAACTTCAACTGGCGGCTGGGGAGCTTCAACTCCTGAAGGAGGCTGGAGTTTATCAAACCCTACTTATCCAGAAGCCCCAGGACTCCCCTCTGCGGAAGTTGCGGCGGTCGACACATACTGGGCAACACGTGGCACCAGCTGGGGCGGACCTCCTCTCCCCGATCAGTACGCTCCCGACACACCAGAACCAGTGCAAGAAGAGTCAGAGGAAGAAGTAACCTACGAATTCTTCGGAGGAGCAGCAGAATTACCAGAACCTACCGAGGAGCCGCCGCCGCTAGAACAAGGACCACAGGAGATTGAGGTCATCGGTGCCGAGTACAGTTACTTCCGTATTCCCATGAAGGGACTCCCAGTCCGCGACTGGCCCAATCGGTGCTTGCTTGTCACGGGGGACCAAGTTGACGCCGGTGACACCGACGACATCATCGGAATTCCTCACGCACTTCTGGAACGGAAGTCCATTCAAGCCTTTGCCACCAAAACTGATGACGCCACCGATGCAGGACCTGGAAAGGAGCAAAACGACGCAGCAGCAAGAAACAATTATTATCAGAAGACAGTCGGCTACCACGCGGAACCGGAAACATGGCATCAGCGGCTCGGCCACCCCTCGCACGTAACTCTCAAGAATTCCCTCCGGGCTGGTGTCTTCGACAACGGAGCACTACCTCCCCGCGGAGGCTCTCTGATAGTAGATTCGGAAGACCCGCCATGCACAGTGTGCCCCGCCGCGTCACTCGCCCACAAGCCCTTTCCCGACCTACCGCCCGGCTACGAACGCTACAAGCCACTCGACAAGGTTTACAGTGATTTCATGAATCTCAGCCAAGGAGGGCTCGACGGCGAATCCTACACGCTTACCTTCATCGATGCAAGCACTCGCTACGTATGGGCTGTCAATACTGACTGCAGATCACTCGCCTTCGAGTGCTTCATCGCGTGGATGAAGCGGGCCGAACGACAATCAGGGCTGAAATTAAAAAGCTGGCAGACAGACGGAGCCCTGGAGTTCTTCTCAGACGAGTTCAAGGAGCTCTTCAAGCAGAAAGGGATTGAACACCTGGTGTCCCTGCCCTACGCTCACGAGCAACAAGGAGTAGCAGAACGGACAATCAGGAGCCTCGCCACCAGGATGAGGGCCCTGATGAAGCAGTCGGCCATCCCAACCAGATTCTGGCCGTTCGCGATGAACCATGCAGTCCGACT